TTCGATTATAAATATAGTTGTATCAAAGAAATCATTCATCTGTTTAGTGATTGACCTGAAGATTACAGAAAAGGGTTTGCCAGTTAAAAAATATTATGATAAAAAAACCTCTTGAGTATTTAGTCTCGTATTAATTTCAAGGCCATATATTGCAATAAAATGAACCTTAATCTGAGACCACACACGGTGTAATTATAATATTGAAAGTGCAATATACACCTCGATATAAAACAAGAGAAATATGACCTTCATAATTATAGATTGTATCGATTTTACCGAACTCATTTATTAAATTGATGAAACTATAAACAAGTATACTACAATCTACACATATTTTGACGTATTTTTTTGTTAATACAAGTTTCCTAGAGTGGCATTGTACTAATTTGTAAAACATTCACTTCTGAACTTTTATAGTCTATGACAATAATACCTTTTAATAGTCATAAACAAAATAAAAGCCAGATAATCGTTAGAGAAAATTATTATTTTTTAGTTCATAACTTTCTATTAACAAGACAATACACTGTTATGATGAGCATCATGTAAAAACTTGCATGCTATTTCGATGCACTCCGTTTACCGCCGACGTTGAAAGAGAAACCGATTGCATTACGAAAGTAAACATTGCAATTTCATTTACATAATGAGAGTGATCAGCTCATAAAAAAGTTTATTTACGAATACGTGAGATAAAGTCAATGGCAACATTAAAAAAACAACTGTCAACGTCATCAGGCAAAGAGTAAAAAATAAAAATCAACCCAAGATGGCGGAAAATTAATCAGATATCATTGTATTTTATTGTTATTTAAAAATTCAATTTTGACGCAATGAATTAAATATTAATAAAATCAAATTAAGTTTTGTTTTATTATCATTAGTTTTATGAAGAGCGTTATTTTTCAAAGACAATTATTTTTGTTTTAATTTATAGTAACGAGTAATATTATTATGATTTTTAATAAATAAAAAATTAAATATATTCGGGTTTCATTTATTAGCGTTAGTGGATACTTATCTCTGTTTCACTTGTCCTTTTAGCTTTAGGACACCTAAAGTGCGACGAGTTTCTAATAAACTCGTTCCTCATCACTGTGATAAGGTTTTTTCCTCTGAATCGATCTGGTAGCTAACGACTATTGGACGCGTCTCATAAATCTGTTACATCATTAAGTATCGCGTGACTATGAACTATAAGCGATGTCCCCGGGTGTTTACGACCATTTAAGCCTCCTCGCTTTAATTTATCGATGAACACTAACTTAAAGATTCAGTATGTCGACGTCACTGTTACAGACCAGACCGTTTTCTAATAACTACGAAAGATTATGCATTTAATATTTTTAACATACCGGTTTTTGAAAGTATGGATAAAAATCGTTTATAAGAAGTTTCGTAAAACACAATAATTATCTTATGAATTTAACGTAGTATTAAATTATATTAAAAATATATTTTACAATATTCAAGTTATATGCGCATATTGAAGGAAAATTAATTATCCAGGGATTTAATTATTACACATATTAACGTCAGTATTAAATGGGAAATTTACAACTTGCAACACCGGCAGGGACTAAAAACAAAAATGTCAGCCGAGATGCGCCTACGCACGCGAGCAAGCGGTAACCAAGGCAACGCGACGCGGAATTCAAAATGGCCGGCGTGTCTTATCAAGTTATTGAATACAAGCTTCAACCTGCGATTTCACCTGCGTAGCAATTTTTTTAATTAAGTTCTCCGAGTTTAATCTTGGGTGTTCTTTTTAAATTTACAAATAATTTAAAGATACCTATGGTTCTGATACCGATACAAGTTTTATTTTAAGTAAATTTTCAAAATAAAACTATCAATTTTCGACACTTATCTGTGTAAGGATATTTTAGTACCAAGAAGACAAAATTAACTGTTATAGAAGAAAATTAACTAAACATAGATTATGTAATCTTTCGCAATTATCTAAACATCGTTACAGCATTACAATAATCAGATTAATGCAAGTTTGACAGCTCCTTGAGCCTATTTCCTTTGAACAGCCATGATAGCTTAGATCCAATGCATTCCACCAGTATGCAGAAATTACTACCAGTTAATATCAGGTATCGCATTCAAAGTGTCAATATTTTTTTTTAAATCATAGATTAAAAATTATTTACTCTGTCGTTTTGAAGTACGACAATGTTGCCTTAATATGGCACCAACTAAAATATATCAAAAGGAGGATCAAATATTCTTTACTTACCGATAGATTAAGATGTTTTTTTTTCTTAATTTGTTAGATTACGTATTAATTCCAAGTATATTTTTTTTACTGCATTATATATTTTAACATAATGTGTATGTAAGTCAATGCCCTAAGAATCTGGTTTAGTTTTTTTACATAGTTCATTATCTATTTGCGATATTGAACCCAATTATAACTTTTGATAAAATCTACAAAGCAATTACACATGTTACAATTTGTTACGCCTATCCAAAGGTTATTACGAAAGCAAACATCGACTTTATTACTAAGGGATACGGTTTACAGTCCTATAAAGATTATCATTAGAAGAAACATAGTGACTTTTAATTACTTCTTACTATTTATTTCTCTAGGTTATAAAAACAAAAACAGGTAAAATTATAATTAATCTTATCGTCTCCCAAAATAACTATACAGAAATTTCCATATGAATAAAACTACTTATAAACTTGTATAATAATTCAAAACGCAACTTAACCATTCATATATTCATTGTGTTCATTCCAACAATACTGCATTAGTAGTCATCCGTATGCCATCACGTTTGCACTTGCCGAGTTGAATGAATCGATTAAAAAAACTTCAATCGATTTAATTCCTAAACATGTGAAATATTTCTAGATTATTTCGAATTAAACTCCAATATAATTCCTAAATCACAGACTGTACCCTTGTACAGCGGACTCTGAGAATCGATTTCCAACACAATCGAGAGAATCGAAACAATCGAAAGCATCTGGGAACCGCATCACTGAGCCGTACGTGTCCTCTACTATCTTAACTTATCACGATCGAGTCCAGGCTTATCCTCTCCGTATATAAACAAAAGGTTATTTGCTATGGCGATTGTTCATTTTAGTTTTGTTAGCATTACAAGATAAAAGATTTTATAGCACTTTGTTGCATTTTAATCGAACTGTATTGAGTTTTACAATGTAATAAGACTTAATAGAGTCAAGTATACATAAAATAAAATCGGAGTGTCTGTTTGTAATATCAAAAGGAAAATTCGTGATTACGGTAGGATGTATTTGCGTTGCTGATAACGAAAATCGCATTTAAAACTTTTTTTGTCTATCCGCAAGGCATGTTTGTTTCATGCAATATCCGAAACGGCTGGGCCGATTTCGACCAGACTTTCACTGAAGGGTAGCTGACATAGACGGGCATATTATAGGCTAGTGTTTTATCATAATATTTTATGGACAAAGTCGCGGCAACAGCTAGTAGAGAATAAAAATAACAAAGTTTAATATTTAGCAAAACAAAATTTATGGTTATGGGTTTAAATTTTCAAATTATACCACAGTACCTAATAAATAATCATCTATCGTTTAGCATATTTCGAATTGTTACAATAATTTTAAGTCGAAAAAATTCGATATGTTGCGATTATAATCGCTGGGGAACAATCATTTAGGCTTATTCGATTCTTAATTCACGTTGCTAATTCGTTTACAATACAGCGATAACGCCGTTGCGCCCGAGAGCCGGTAGGGGGCGCCCGGGGCACCGAGCACTGTTTAATTTTCAATTTAGATCGCAATTTGCGATGCGTTCGACGCACGCCCAAACTCGCATCACCCGTCTGATAGATTTATTGCACTTACTCCATAGTACTATATTGTGTGCATATATTAAAAGAAATTAACTCGTAAGTTATGAGTGAATCGGATCCGGTAGATAAGGGTAATGAAAATTTTACGA